GTGTGACAAAGATAAAAAGATACAAATATATTTGAATAGCAACACATTTAGACTGTTATTTATATGTTATGAGGATAAGCACCACTTTGATTATCCTTGGACTAATAAAGAAATATGAAAGAACCATCAAAAGTATAAATGAAATCTACTAGTATGTGAATCATGATAGAAAAGCCTCTTCAATAAAAGTAGACCACTGAGACTTCCTCAGGATTTTTAGGTATCATATTAAAAGTATAGTCACAGTTTTATTTCAAAGTCACCAATTAATTTGGACTTTAGTAGAAATCATATCTATTTGATTCTTATAAACATTTACACAAGCAAACTTCTTATCACAAAAAGTTTGTGTAAAGAAAACATGTATAGTCTGACACAACATGGCAAATGATTTCCAACATTTCCACAGATTTTCCGGAGTCACAGAAAGAACAAAGCCAATTGTGCTGTAGTTACTCTCCAAATCATAGAATGGATTTAGTTTCTTTATTATTGTGCTGGTTTTGGCTGGGGTAGAGTTAATTTTCTTCACAGCAGCTAGTATGGGGCTATGTTTTGGATTTGTGCTGGAAACAGTGTTGATAATACAGGGATGTTTTCGTTACTGCTGAGCAGTGCTTACACAGAGTCAAGGCCTTTTCTGCTTCTCACACCACCCCACCAGTGAGGAGGCTGGGGGTGCACAAGAAGCTGGGAGGAGACACAGCTGGGACAGCTGACCCTAAAGGGATATTCAATACTATATGACATCATGCTCAGCAATAAAACTAGGGGGAAGGTTGGTGGGGGGCCACTACTCAAGGGCTTGGTTGGGCTTCGTTCGTTGGTGGTGGGCAACTGTTTTCATTTGCATTACTTGTCTTTCTTGGGTTTTATTTCTCTCTCCTTGTTATTTTCCTTTTCATTAAAATTATATTATTCTTATTATATTTTATTTCAATTATTAAACTGTTCTTATCTCAACCCACAAGTTTTCTCACTTTTACCCTTCCAATTCTCTTCCCCCCATCCTGCTGGGGGGGGAGTGAGCGAGCAGCTGTGTGGTGCTCAGTTGCTGGCTGGGGTTAAACCACAACAGTTATACAAATAAGTCAACATTTATTAAATAATAGAATGATTAAATATGGCAGCATTCATTAAATAGTTTAAATTTGTTTTTCCAAAGCCCATACAAAGAATCTTAAGAAATCCTAAAAGGAGAGCGAAATGTGATGGAAAATTTGTTTTTCACCACTAATCTTCTCGGGTGTGCTAAAACATCACCCTTTCCAGAGCTGTCCTGAGAGGCAGCCTAGAAACAAAGGAAAAACTATCCTAACTGAAGTCAATAGGATCCACACTTGGAAATTTGACTTGGAACATTCCAAAGAGATGAGATGAAATTTTATACCCACTTTTTATCATATTAGGATACTAAAGGTCAGGTAATTATGAGGAAAATTACATATTAATTAGTTATACAAGCCTACAGAAAACAACTTAAAACAAGACTTAAGACTGGGAACTCTATGAATCATAAATAAGGAAATGCAATGTCAGAGTTAAATTGATAGTTCTAACTGTCATGATGGCTAAGTTGATGTACATACGGTGGAAAAGTCAGAAGAAGAAGGACATAACACAAACACCACCAGAGCTTATAAACTTTATGATCCATAACTGCCTGGTTTTACACCATTGGAAACCAGTTAATCTTCACTGAGGTCTCTAAATGCTCAGAGATATACAAACCTCACTTTTTTATTTGGCAAATTCTCGAGTTTCAGCTGTTTTAATACCTGATTAAATGGCATTTAGCTATGTGGCTCAAGCTGAATGCGCTCCCATTAAGCAGGCTTATTGCTAATATTTTTCTGAATAAGCTGTAGTCATTATCAACCAGTGAAAATAAAACAAATTCCCAGTTCAGCCCACATCAGTTAGAGTATTCCATAACAGCAATTAATATCTGTGTAGAATCTTTAATTCCTGAGTGCATTTCTGACTTAAAATACACATGAACAACAGTGAAATGGAAGTAAAATTTTACAAACTTAACTATATTGATAACAAGTCAATTAAATGGCTGATTTTATTCCACTTATTTTATTCTGAGCACAGGAAGAACTTTATGCAATGATGTCATGACATAACTTTCTTTTACACCTTCCAAAGACATTTCTTGTAAAACTGACATCCTGTGAATGTTTTTTCTGTATCTAAGGGCCAAATTATAAAAGCTCTGTAAGCACCTAACACTTGTCAGGATTATTAGGCCTTTAAATATCCTTTAAATTTTATCTGCATATCTCAGGTATCTAAAACCCAGGTAATCAAAGCGCGTTTAGATGCTTAATCAACATAAAGAATCCCCATAAAACATTCATTATAATCTGTGTGAATACTTGATTCCACTTAGATTTACAAAGAGGACTCTTAAGGGTCCAGAAGAGAAACCACTGTGTTTTTCATGCACTTCTTTATCTTTTTCTATCCTGAGGCAAAATAATGGTGTAAAGTATGGTCTTACACAATCATATACTAACAATAACAGGTTTCTGCCTATCACCAGAAGCTGTTCTGAGAATGGCACTTTCTTTACAGCACCACAAAACATGAAAAACATGTGACTGGCCCACAGAACTCTATTCCAATATTTATTATTCTATGATTTTATTGTCCACAGCCCTATATTCTGATAAAGTAACTATTGCTACTGATCTTGGTAACTATCTGAAGATTTGAGATCAATTATATCTTTGATCAATGCATAAAATATACAACTACAATGAGTGAGAGGAACTGCTACAAATTTTAAATATGTAAACCAGATGCATACTTCACACATTTCTAAAACTTTGGGGGGTGCATTTGCTTATTTGGAATTAGAGAAATGAACAATCTAACTTTACATCCCATCGTATAGTACTTTAAAAGTGCAGCGCAACAGAACTAGTCAATAAATTAAATTTTAAATGTTTCCAATTAGCATGCTCAAGACACAATATATATAACAAGTAAATAGAAGAAAAAAAGTATTTTTCTCTAAAAAGGGTAATTTTCTAAAAACGTGACAAAAAGTAAATTAACTTTTTAAAACATTGATTGTCAGTTAGTATCTAATGTCTATAAAATCTTTAAATCTTATCAGTAGGAAAAAAATGTTCAAAAGATTAGCTATGCGGCTCAGTTAACACAATCTAGATAATTGATAGATAACTAAGATACTAATCTTCAAGAAACAGAAGTTGCTATTTTTCAAATGGAACATGAAAAGGCTTCTAAAAAAAAAAAGAAATAATAAATCTAAAAAGCAGTGGAATTCTGTCAGCAAAGATGTTACAAATCTTTCTAAGTGGAAACTTAGATCTTTCAACAAATTTGAAAACTAAAGAGGTCCTAATGTAGGATATGTTTAAAATAAATCTCTTCCTGACATTATAATTCTAGATTTAATTCCAACTAATGAGCAGAAACTCACTGAAAACCTAGTAATGAAAGTTTATTTGCATGAATGTAGTTGTGATTTTCATGAACTGAAGTGAGGCCAGAGAATAATGGCAATGAAAAAAAAAACACAAAAAACAACCAACCAGACTAATTAGCTATGTAAAGACATAGAAACTGGAAATGATAGTAAGAAGGTGTTATTTATAGTATTCATAAAATATAAAAAAAAGAATTATGTAGAAATGAAATAGTACACATTATTAATGAATGAATCTTAAACAAATAAGACGCAAAACACAGAGAAAGAGGGAATTGTGTTTTAGCTTGATTTGTGCTGGGATTTGACATGATCCAACACAAAATTTTCACCAACAAAGTAAGGAAATATGGACTAGATGAATTAGACATTTACAATGTGGCATTATCACTTGGAAAAAAACACAGTATGTGTAATTTTGAAAGAAAGTTAATATGGCCATGTATTCAGTCTACAGAATTTTAACAGAAACACTACAGTTACTCTCTGACTCATGTTTACAATAACATTTGGTCTCATACCTCTAAACAATTTTAGTAACAGAAATAAAAAGTTAAAAGTATTCTTAGCTTCACAAACATATACAAAAAAGGAACTAAACGCTGATAGTCATACCGTCATAAATCCATCCAGCAAACCTGAATCAGGCTTAGGAGGTGCTTGCAATCGCTCCATAGACCACTTTTCAATGATAGATGACACCTGGGTATTTTCCGTGTTTAGAATTCTGAATCCAGTCATATTAACACCACTATACCGATAGGGTTCCACATCCAAGGCAAACAGGTCCTGAAAAAAATTACCATTGTATAAATTCTTTAATACACTGCAATTCCTATTTCAATTGTTAGACCTGATGGTCTAAACTGAAATTTACAGGAGTAACAGTGCTATTTATGCTAGGAAGTATGCTCTGTTTATCTGGGGGCCTGTGTCTGTGAGCAAGCAACTCAGCTGACCCTGTAGTGGGAGTAATCTGATTCACAGAGGAAGAACAGCTTCAACTGCCTTTAAAAAAAAAAAAAAAAAAACCTTTTAGGAAATGCTAAGTGCTGTGACAGAACTGTATCCACCACTAGTTAGGTTTAAATACTAAAGTAGACTTAAATATTATTATTAATTACTAAAAATATTATTATTAATCGCTACTTCTTTGGCTTATCAGAACAGACTTAAATCACAAAATAAACAGAACAAGAGTTTCCTTGCATCTGCATTCTCTATGAAACTTGAAAATGTTGATCTCTAGATGTTAAATTGGGGGGGAGAGGGGAAATGTACGTGGCTTTAAAGTTAACCAAAAGCATTTTTCACAGCTATCAATCATACTTCCAAACATGGACATATCTTTGATTAGGAATTCATCTTTGCAAGAATAACCTTTGCCAATTAATGTATTTTCAATACATATGTATGTATGTGTGTGTATATCTAGCCCCCCAACACACACAGAGACAAATATAAATTAATAAAAAGAAGAAAATAAAATTTTAGATCAAACAAGTAAACTCAAGATTATGCCAATCCTTTGACAGAATCCTTAGAAACAATGTAGAACCAGTACTTGACTTCAGGAAACTCAGGTCTAAGATCAAGTTTTGAACATGGGAAAAAATAAAATAAAATTAAGTTGATGATAAAAACAGTCATGACTCACTAGACTTAGGTATGTGCATTATAAACAGACTTTCATTTGGTTTACTTTCTGGTTTTTTAAATAATTTTTTTAAGTGACATAATCAAGGTTATACATAACTGTCCTATAACTTAATTTTACTTTCACTGAATATAGGAATTCTCCACATAATTCATACTTAGTCATTCATCTCATTTTTAATTTATTTTTTGCTGGCAGTTTAATATGTTATAAATTTCCATGAAATGGTAGTGTTAGGTGTAACACTTGCCTGAATCCATTTTGTTTACTGGCTAGAGCTGAAGAACATTAAATATTTACTATGGAAAACCAGAATATAATTTATTATTAATTGTTAACATCCCTCAGCCCACAAAAATATCAACCAGTTATCAATCACTACCCATTTTTAATTATAGCTAGTAATTATGATACCATTTTCCATATATAATACCTAAGATATACAGGTGTCAAAATGCTTTTAAGTGATTTATTTACAAATAACCTATCTCGTCCTCTTTCTAAAGAAATAAAACATTTTATTGGAAAGGAAAGGTTGAAAATAACTAGAACTATGTTGCATCTTTCCCTTTAAAAATTCTCTGTTTTTACTGTGAAAGAAGTCAGAACCTTAGATGTAATTATTTCATCCAAACACATTCATATTTACACTGAAATATAATAAATATACACAATATTATGCATATATTATAAATACACACAGGTCAGAGTATTAATGAGCTACTGCATTAGACGTTGAATCAATCAAGAGGAGAACACACAGAAGAGTGCTGTAAACACTGTAACTGGAAAATTTATTTGACAGGACTTTCACCATGTCAGGTAAGAAGCAATTAATTTATCAAAACAACTAAATTCTGATGCAAGTTCCAAAGCTACATTGCAAAATCAAAATCTATCATCCCTTTGTGCACACTAAATTATCCTTTGATAGCTCCAAGTCAATATAATACTTGTCTCTCTTAAAAAAAGCTAATGTTCTAATAAGGAAAGAAGAATTACAGAAAATCCTGATTTTTAAACATAGCTTTAAGAATAAAAATTAAGTGCCAATGGACAGCATACCACTCAAAGAAGCAATATTCACCATTAACAAAATGAAAATTTAAAAAATAAAAAATCCCTTGAAACATCTAGAATCCATTTTGATAGACTAGTGAGGGAAATTCTATTGCATGCAATCCTAAATCCGTAAGTGATAGAACTTACCCTTCTAAAATAAGACAGGTACTTGTGCAGGGTATTTTGCCTTTACAGTTCTAATGAACTTCACAAATTATTTTGCTTTCTATTCAACAAGATATTTCCATGCTAATACTTTCCATGAACTTCTGTTTTGTGATTCTGAGGTGAACTTTCCATCCTACCAAAAGGGATTAAGTCCATAAGGACTTAAACATGTATGTGACTTTAAACATAGGTCATTTCAAGCATGGTTTTACCAAGGCACATCTGTCTCATGCTTGAAATGACATGTATTTTAAGAACCTTAATGAACTGCAATCTAAATAGGCAAATTTGAACACAACAGAAAACAGAGAAATGTGCCCAACTGTAGTTTCTAGAGTGCTATTTTACCAACTTTTAAACTGTTTCTTAGTTAGGCTGTGGTGAGCAGCAAAAAAGGTCTTCACATGCGTTTGTTATGTTTTCTAAGAGCATTCACATTTTAAATGTTCATTTATTGCAAATGTTAAATCTGATGGTTCCAAGAGTGATCAAATTCCTTAGTTACTTTTACAATGGACACCAAAGAATATTGCATAATTCATGTGCCTAAAAAGCTCATGTGGACTGTTAAATAAAATGCTGCTAATATTCACATCAAATCATTCAGGAATCATATGACAGTGAAAAATTACCTTGTAAAATGTTGGATTAAAAATATGGAATATATGAGTAAGTTTAAAATGTCATAACCTTCACACAGAAATAGCTAAAAGAGAAAAAGGACAAAATTCATAATATAAATAATCAATTATGAATTATATACTTAACCCCGCTTGAAATTTTAAAACTGCAATGCTACAGAGTCAGTTGCTTTTTAGAGTCTATCAGTTTCCAGGGCACGCTGTTGAACAATAATTAAACCATCCTGATGAGTTTCCACTGAAAGTAAGAAAACTCAACAGAGGAAACATCATGTACTCACACCCCATTCCAGAGAGACCTTTTTCACTTTGTCAAGTAATATAATTAAGAAAAGTAACATCTTTGTTAGATGTCATCAGTATGTTTTTATAAACCACTTACCAGTGTGGTAAAGATATAGTGATAGTATTCTGTCATCATTCCCATAGCTAAAGCCTTAAAAAAATAAACAAAAGGTTAATGTTTCTGAGGTCACATAATACATTTTTATCACACTTACATGGCAAATGAAAAGCTGCAAAAGAACACTACTGGGATCAGATTGTAGGGTTGGAATTATACTAAAATTAGGTCAAGCAAGTCATTTCCTAGCAGTTAGAGCAGATTACTGACTATTAAAGGAATTTATGAACCAGATCTTCTGATAGAAAGAATATTATTAGACTGTTTAGTGCAGTAAATGTGAAAGAGGCTTATAGTTTTACATACTAATGGATGCATTAAGTTGCCACACAAAATTTGAGTAGAAAATATTTTCATTCATTATTGAACCCTTCCCTTAAAAAGAATAACCTAATAGGAATTTTTTTTTCTATTTTGATGAACAACACTATGTGTTTAAAAGAAGGACCCAAACTTATACGTGTGTACATTTTTCCATGGAAGAAAATACTTGAGTCAACTTTTGAACAGTGAGATACATACTACTTCAGTAAAAATGAAGAACAAATATTCATAGTATTACTCTATAAACTCAGATATCTACCAAGTACCTTCATGTGTCTTGTTACCTATCTATTACCGAATAGTTTTTGATCAACTGTGCATTTTAAAATGTTCCTAGTTTTCTCTTAACAGCATGAGAACAAATATCTGAACATACAATTTTAAAGCAATAAACTATGGATGTCTCATCACTCCTATTCATTAAGGGCATTTTCACCTGAAAAGCATGTATCTTCATGCTCTGCACAAAAGTTGCCTTAGACTAATATGATTTATTCAATCATTTTAGTATCTACAGTGATTTTTACCTAATTTTATCACTGTAAAAAAGCTACACAAGTAAGCAATATTTTCTTCCTTTCCAGGAATTGTCAACAGAATTCTTTGCCAAGTCGCTACCAGTTACACCTCCTTAAATTGAAGACATTGAAGACAAAAATTATACAATTGTGATAATACCAGAATTTGTGTACAAAATAATTATCGGAGTTCTGAAGGCTGTGGGAGCATTTTTAGTTGTGACATTGTCTGAAAAATGATGAAATCGCTAGTCTATATGTTCTTTTCCAAAGAAAAGTTAAAAGCTAAAATTAATTCAAAATACAGCTGCAGATCAGATTTTATAACATTTTAGACAACTTTGACAAAAACTGCAATAACACTTTTCCAAAGGATGTCTATACCTGTGTATTTAGAATTCCACAATAATATTTAGAACTACAGTATAGTGTGCCAATAGCAATTTAAATTCTCTTAAACACAGGAAAATCATTGTCTCATGAGAAATATTACAACATCATTAGAAACTGTACAACTACAGACATTGTTAGCATTTTTAAGAACTTCTGTTGTTGTTTTTAAATAAAGCCAAGGTATCTTCCTCTATATACTTAACACATTTGCAGTCACCTATATCTTAACTGCTTATAATCAGGTCTTTCATACTCCACAGAATCTCTACGCAAGAACAGGCTATGCATGTTCCTGATTCTCTTACGTGCTGGTGTTGTCTCTTTTCCAGGTCTTCTTTCTTTCACTTTCCTCACTTCTCAAAAGACCTTACTCCTTTTTCCTCTTCAAAACATTGTCATTTCTCTGCTCTCATTATTCCTGTGCTTCCCTAACCTTTTAAATCATGTCTGCTTTCCCTGGTTGCCTGGTGATGTAGTTACCACTGAGATTTACCTTAATTTAATTATGCTTGTCTGAATGGAATGGTGGGATTTTTTTTTTCCTTTTCGTGATGTATTTTTGGCCAGAAAACAGTAGTTGCCATTTCATTGGCCTCTCAAGGTACTTTTTTTTTTTATTTCCAACTTGTTTTCTCTTCCACCAACTTCATTATTAATCTTTCCAATCATCCTCCCAAGAAGAAACCCTTTGTCATGTCTCCCTAAGTTCATCCCTCCATTACCAGAAAATATTAGTTAATTAATAGTTCACAAATGGATATATAAAGATTTTTTTTATTATTTTTCAGCAAACACTTGTAAACACTATATTTGGGATGATATCACTAAATAATAAATACAGTCTTAACATCCTTTGTTTCAATTTCGACAGCAAGAGCTCACATTCAGCTGCAGAACTACCAATTTCAGATGTATTTAAAGCATTGCAATATTGGAGCTGAATGGAAAGCTAAAATCTACAGAAACTGTATAAAGATCTAAACACTCATGAAAGAATTGTTCCTGTATCTTCCCTCTATAATCTTTAGGATGAGCAGAGTAGTTTGATAAAACAGTTTACAATTTGATTTAAAGAGGTTGAACTCTTACTCTTGGGTCCTGGGATGTGATTAAAGATATAATGCTTTTAATTTTGTTCCCATTTCCCTCTAGTCATGTTTTACACAATGTTGTATACTGTGTAAGAAAAGTTTCCTTTCACCTAAAAACTACTAGGTACAGTATCAATAATGTACCTTGATGGAGCTGTTGTTAGTACTGCAGCTTTGTATTGCCATCAACACATTTTCCATCTGCATTTTTAAGTTGTTAAAATAATTAAATGTATATTTAATTATTTGCGCTAAACAATTAGACTAACTAGGCTGGCCTATGCTTAGCAAAGAGCAAAAACCACCAGCAGGTTTAAAATTACTCGGAATTAATAAAAGCCTTTTAATCAATGAACAATAAAGCAAAGAAATGATAGTATACGCATATGTTTACTAGCAATTTTAATTGTACCCACAATACCCCTAAGTACCTTTAATGAGAGACATATTTTCAAATTTTAAATACATTTTGTTTTCAATTTAAACCATACAGTCTGCTAGTAAACATAATATAAACATGATTTAAAGTCACTAAAAGCTGTGCATTAGAAATTTAGAACATTGTTTTGTTTTGGGTATTTTTCCTATCCTCATTGCAAGTCATAGTTCAATTAAAAAACTATGGGGAAAATGGCCTCTGAGCATAAGGAATTCCCAGTCTTTGGAGCTAGCTCATTAAACTAAAGGAGACACACAAAGGCATGTCTTTTATGCATACTTCAGGGTTACAGTAAGCTTTTTTATGAGCCGCATCCTTTGTATACCACTATATTGCCACCTTCTCTTGGAAGACATCACTGGAATCTGCTTCTGCAATATAAAGCCAGTTAAGTATTTGGGTTCTGCTGTATCTCACCTACTCATCTCACTTGTACACAATAAAGCAAACACTTTCAAAGCACCTACCCAAATGTGTTCAGGTGTTTTGCAGTTCTATTAGTAATGCAAGGAGAATATGGCTCTAAAAGATATCTATTAGTTCTGTCCTCTCAGCGGAACACATTAATGTGGTCTGTTGGTAACGTACTATTCAAATATCGCTATCTGATTAAGACTACACCATTTACAGGCTTTAATTTAAAAAAAAAAAAATCTTTGTTACATAAAATAACACTAAGCAAGCATTTAAAATGCTGGTTAAAGCATCAATTCTCCAAAGTACCAATTCTTCATAGTTGAAAGACTGATATGCCTTTTCCCCTGTACATGAACCGATTAATCTGTTTCTTTAAAAAAACATAATGAAAACAGCTACCGTTAGAGTCACCAATAAAATTACCTCTGAAATCCTTGGCTGATTTTCAGTTAGGCCTTGGTAAAGCTGACATGCAATTCCCCTGCTTGTTAAATGCCATTAAGTCTGGATATTACTTTTATTTATTAGGGATGAAAAAGATTAGGCCATCTAAAGCAAAATGAGAATTACCTGTTTCAAGATGCCTGCTGCCATTTCATGGCTGCAGTCAAAGATTACATGGAATTCTTTGCCTCTTTTCATCTCCTTTAGCAATGGCTTTGCATCTTTCGTGTCAGCTGGTAACTGACGGATTTTTAGTCTCAGGTTGTATCGTGATGGAGCCTTGATGAGCTCTTGTAATCGAATAAGGCCTTAAAGAAAACAGAGGAGTCAAAAGAAAAGAAAATTATCAAAACAAGAACCTGAGCTGCTAGCAGGACAACTCACTATAAACATTCAAAGTTTCCTGAATTTTTCTCCCTTCTCAGTATGTTGCAACTGACACACAAAAATTTTATTAAAAAAAGAAAAAGAAAAAGAAAGTATCGGCATTCACAATACTGTCTTACAACAAGTCTTTCTTCTTCCTTAATATTAACAGACAGTAAGCAGCCTCAGTTAGGATTACCTTAAGACAGACAAATCTTCCTTTAGCATTATCACGCAACTATGGCATTCCTCTTCAAAGAACGTATATAATTATTCTAATTCAATTAAAGCAATATCCCAGACTAATAGTTTGTAATCAGACTAGCCAGTCTCCTAAGTAATATATCAGGTCTACATACAAAGTTGTGAATCATTTCAGCACTGTAGACCACTCTCACATAATTCACGAGAGTTGGTTTGGTTTTTTTTCTTGATTATACAGGTAACAAAACACATATATGCAGCAGCAAAAAGGCTGAATAAATGACTCGTGCCATTGCATTCGTCTTCAATACTCCACAATTCCATTTTTAATTACTTCACTTTTACTATGGAATTAGATGCAGTAACATTTTTCCAAAAATTTTATTGTTCACATCAGCATAACAGTGCGTGGTGTGTTTTACAGATCACTGATTGGTTTGTGACTAATATTAAATATTAGGTTGTTTAACTGTATTAAAATAACAGGGTAAAAACAGGTCTCCTAGAAAGTAGCAGTTTATTTCTGTGTTAGCAAAAAAAAGATGTATTCTGCCATGCTCACTTCCTTCTTGCATTGGAGCATGCTCCACTTAGTGGCAGTAACAAAGGTTACTGTTCATCATTATGTTTGCAGTGCACATATATAATACACCCAGCTGCCAAAAACTGGAAGCTCTGCTTAGGATTTCAGTTACAGCAGGATCCAGGTGTAAATGAAGTGAAGTGCTTCTAAAATCTGAAATAGCTCATTTCACTACATCAAAAATATTAACAGAGATGACTAATTATTATTTAGTTATCATCATGGGCAGCACTGTCTAGTATTAAAAAACACTGGTATTTTATTTTATCTCTAAATAGTCTTCCTGGTTACAACTGGATGTCAAAGCTGTCTTGATTTCAGGAAATGATGTTGTCATAATGTAACACAGAACCACACTACAGTGTCAGTAAGAAATTGTGATAACCTCTGACAGAGGATTTAATACAGCCTTTTTCCAACATACATTGTTCTTCTAGTAACATAATGCTGAGAGATTTTAGTAACATAGTGTTGCTATGATTTTTTGCTATGTAGCTTTTAGATTGTAAAAAACACTTAGCTCTAATCATTTCCAGCAGAACCAGACCAGTAGAGGATATAACTGAAAGATAAAATCAGTCTCCTCTATTTCATCATTCCCCCTTTTTGACCCTGCAAAGGATCCACATTACTTTCTCAACAGTTTCTGCCAAAATTAGCTGGAACAGGAATTATAGCTTACTATATAAAACCTTCCTAAATTAAGACTGCAGGTGTGGAGATCTGGCAGAGGATCCCAGTAGACCCCTTAGGCCCTAAAGCAGAGTGGGAAGGACAACCTTGTTATTTAGTCAATTTAGGAATTTTTTCTTCACTCACAAGTCTGTGTCACAGATACAATATCTCATATTTCATCACAATTTCTCAGTAATACCCCTATCACATACAACCATTCTCAACAATGTGTATATTGTTCAAACCGAGACAATTGTTACCTATAGCTAAATAATCTCTCAAATTTCCATCTTCTAAAAAGCTCATCCTGCTTTGAAAAGGAAATAAAAGCCACTATTAAAGAATTACAGAAACACCACTATGTTTACTGGCAATCTTTGGTACAGATGCTGAGGGCAGAACAGATAGGGAAACTGAAGTACTTTCTCCTGACTAGACCTGGTCCCTGCTTGCTAAGACACAGAGAAGTGATAGCTAGGGTATATGTGACTTCTGAGTAAATGGCAGAAGTAAGTCTACATCGTTGTGAAAATATTACTTTTAGAAATTAATTCAAATTTTAAAAATTGCCATATTTACCTCAAATGTTATGATATTTACATAAAATGAATTAATGTATTTAATGGAAGTTTAAATTTATTTAATACTTGATTTCTAAATAATCTTGAAGAAATAGACTTAAAAGCTTCATAGAAGAGGTGTCTTTTCTAACTTAAAAGTTTATACAACTACTGCATATTAGTACCATTTTCAGATAATCTGGGACAATTACATGGAAGTAAAGCTTTGAAATTAACAACATAGCATACCCCATAGTCATTAACCACCTTATCAAAAATAACTGACAGTAACATGTCAACAAAAACACTTAGGATTGTCCCAAAGTCTTTCCCTTTTTCTTAAGACTAAGAAAAATAAAGCAACTAGAAAGTATGCCCTTGTGCTCAAAAAAATTAGATTATTTCAGGTTGAGGGAAGCACCAAATTTCAAAGCAGAGTCTTTCTCAAAGGTAAAGTCCTGCCAGTTGCTCACTTGCTCTGATATCCATGCACTTCCACTTAAGAACTACAAATCACAAGACTAGCAATATGGGACAGGTAGTATGACACACTGTGCCAGAAAAAAAGAAACCCTGGCTTTTGATGGTCACTAGTCAAATATGACTGAGAAGACAGACAGAAAGACAGTCTTTCTAAATAGCCATGTTAGTTCGAATCAGATAGTGCTGCAAAACGTGTTGCCATGTAACAGACAACGGTATCCAAAGCTGATATATGAGCTGTCAGTATGTGAACTAGAGACATGTATCTATATCTGAGCTACTTACATCACACTTAAAAGCAAGAAGACAGGGGGGAAAATGGCAGATTTGGGGCAGGGGGTGAGAATCTGAATGGACAGACATCTTCAGGACCTTGTACCCCTGAAGTATTCAGATACTAATGGGGACTTCTGTGATGAGCTGTATTTTAACCTCCGAGTAATATTTAGTGGAAAAGTTCTATGTCACACTGAACATTTGCCATAAACCTTCAGTCATTCCTTGCAGCAGATCATCACAACTAGAAACCACTGTGAGTACGGGAGATTAGACAACACGAAACTCTTAAACACAGCTTTGTGTCACAGATACGTGGTAGGAAAGAGATTATAATCAGTTTCACAAAACAAGTATCGATCTCCCAATGGGAGAACATTAAGTAAACTACCAAAGATGAGAAGTCCACAATTTGTTCAAAAAATCATATCCATGACATGTACAGAAAATGGAAAGCTATATAAAAAATAAACATTACTGGTGAAAATATGCTAAAAGACATTGAAGAATATGAGATTCAAAACTGCACTGCTGTTTGAGTCTCAAATGGAGGCAATGATTACAAAATATGCATTTACTCAAAATGAGGAAAATCAGAACTGTGTCTCAACCATGCAGTTGTTTTTGGATAATAGCATGATGACTTCTCCCTCAGGATTTTTGTAATCTCAAATATATTTGGCCTTTTTGTTTTTCCAGAGGAATCAAATTTTATTTTATTTGGGAGGCAAGGAATGAATAAAGTATTATAGACTATTCTTAAGTGCACTGTTATCCAAATCTGCAGCTGGAGTTGCTCAGTAGGAGACAAATAGACACTTGTTAGTATGATGGTTATGACAGTCATCTGAGAAAGGAAACACCTGGGTTTTAGTCCCTGTTCTCATATTTCCATACTGAACTAATTTTCAAGAATAGCAAGAGACAAAAGTAGCTTTACTCTACCGTGCAAGTTTTGGAATCAGGACCACTCCAGAACAAAAGGTATTATGTTTGTGGAAGTAACTGTGAAATTAATTTGTTTGTATAAGACATAAAAGTGATTCATTAAGTTCAAGTTTTCTGTACAAGTACCGTACTCAGTATTTTTGATATATCAAAGGTTAAAAGGAAATCTGATTGCCCTTTCTTGACTGCAAACTGTTCTTTCAAAGCATTGTTTACTTAGAAGGGCAAAGTGCCTACTTCGTATGTTCTACTCATATTCTCAGGTGTTACACCAGTCACCTTTGTTACACCTTTGGAGACTTAGTTAAGATTGTCAAGGAATGTTAAGGTGGGATGGAAGGAAGGGAAAAAGGGAGGCTGCTTTTCTCTGTAGCAAGTCCCTAAGTTCCAAAATTTTGGTAAACAAATGTAGGACATTACAAATTGACAGGTGCCTTGATCTATTCCTATTTCTTGCACCAATGCAATACAGTTCTGGTCTTTTACTGTAGGTCCAAGGTTTGTTACAGAATGGCAAGAAGGGTTTTGTGGCCTATAGGAGCTTGTGAAGTAGATGTCTTACAATACTCTTATGAATTAAACATCTACTGCATGGTTGACAGAAACTGCAGGGGGTGAGAGCCAACAATTCAAAACTTTCTTCAAGCTTTGTTCTGTTTCAGAGCATTACCCAAGAAGGTGAGCAAAGTGAGCATCAATCACTTCATGCTCTCCTCAAGAGCCTAACTGGGCTGTTCAAGAATTTAAAAAAGTCCTCCTCTTCATAAATCTTGTCATGATTAGGCTACCCCAGAAGAAGAAAAAACCCCACCAAAATTTGAAATAGAAGATTTACAGATGCAGGAACTAATATCAGAACAATTAAAAACTGTCAAGGAGAATACTATGGTAAGTATAGTGTCTGCTTGCTAGATTACCTATGTATCTGAGAGAGAAGCGATGAGCAATAAAGTACCACACTGTGAAGGCAGTACAAAAGCTGTAGAAGCTACCAGAGGAACCTGAGCGTGAGAATGAGGGGTAGAAAACCTGTGAATGCACACCTCTGTAGTGCACTAACTGGACCTCAGTGCTGGGGCAGTACAGGTGTACATGCAAGCAAATGAAGTATTTATGCCTTCAGTAACTGTCAGGACATGTAAACAGTAACCAGTGAGCTTCCTCAAAACTTATTTTAAAGATAAAGCAAATCTGAGACATAAACAAATTCCGG